TAATAATTTATAACAACGTACTTTGTCTCAATTACTTAACGTTGACTTAGTCTATGATATTGTTATGTACGACTAAATGTATTGATAAATTAATATAAAAACTTAAATRATTTAACGAATATTAAGTCTTCTTAATGGAAATTATAATGTAGGATTGATGTGTCTGAAAATAATCGTTCTAATGTACACATTTTGGCACAAAACGATCTCCTCGAAGGTCGAGCCTTAAATTCGATAACGARAAGGGTACGATGTGTCACATGACGAAAATGGTTAAAACAAGGGTCGGAACGAATGATGATGCAGATGTTGGACAACTTACGGTCTATAGTAATCTAACCGTCATGAGGGTATATAGTCTGGGCCGATGGACTGAGGGAGACGCCGCATATCAAATTATAGAAGGAATAAGGCATGTTTGTAGATGATTTTGTGGATGAAAAGCCTATAAATAGCCTGCAAAGTGTATACAAAGTTTTTCCGAGAAAACACATAGCRAATAATATTATTATGATATACAAGAGAGAAACTTTTCACTCAACTTGGAATATAAATTCTTGATATTTCATTATATTACATAACACTTACATACATTATATTTCAATCTTAAGTTACACGTTTTTTAATCATTTTGTTTTCATGGTATTAAGTTTAAAAATTAGGTTGATATATATTATAATTTATTAAATTCAATTGTAAAATTTATCTCCACAGTCACATTACATACAAAATAACCAATAGAAGATTCAAAAAAAAATGTGTAAACATAAAGTTTATTGGATCAATTACAGTTGTATGAGCAAATTGGTAGAATATTGTTCATTGATCCATATCTTGGTAAAGTTTTCATATGGTTTAAGAACACTGGCTGTCAATTAATATATTATCTTTAGGTTCGATAATGAATAATTACTATTTATTGAGTTAATTTATTTAATATTACTAGGTTGTTCAGTTTAAAAGTGAACCTCATCGAAGATATCGGTTAATATTCTGTATAAGAATTTACTTATTTAGTAATGTTCAGATTGACGAGGAAAATAATTATCGTTTATATTTTGTTGAAAAATAACGTTTTAGAAATCATCTAGTTTAATAAATAATTTGTATATTATAACAATAATATGAGTATCATTATTTATTTTCAGATTTACATTTATTATAGCCTGAAAACCCAATTATTATCATATTGAAAAGTAAAAAAAAATTACAAGTCAATTATTATTTGGAGCTGTCAACGTGAATAAAAAACTTTTTAAAAATATATACAATATATAATAATATTATAGTTGTTAGAAAATAACTTTGGACCGACACACGTGTATCAAGTCCATTAAAAGTTTACAACGAGCTTATAAAGAGTCCATGCATGCAGAATCTACATAATAATGTATTCCATGTATATGCACGTTAATGTATACAATATTTCCACCACGTTATTGAAAAAACATATGTAAAATATCACACGTATTAGACACGTAGACGTTGTGTGTCAAAGCAGCAGTGTGGTGAAATATAACTTTGGAACATGTCATATTTCATTTCATAGTAAAAAAAATAATTTTATATTTTCTTATATTTCTTATTCTTATTTATACTTTCAAACTATCAACTGTAATTGCAAATCATAATATTAGCTTATATTTTATAATTTATATTATATAGATATTTAGAGCAGGAATTTTAATACTTGAGATGGTATTATTTTTAAAGTTTGGGCCTTAATAGTCGTTCGGTCGTAATTTGAAATAGAGATAAAAATGTTWTATGTTTCTTGACTACTCCACTAAYGTATTAACAATAAATCATTAATAATTAGCGATAAAAGTTTGTTTGATAATAATATTATATGTTTATATCAGATTTCAAAAAATCACGTTTAACGTAAAATATATATAAAAATGTGAGCTTCAATTAGAACACTCTGAAACTGATCCAGCAGCCACAAAATTTCTCTCACCATCAATGAAAAATACAAATCTTTATCAGACCTAATGAACTTCAAACCACTTATATTTAATAACAACACCCACCCGTCATCCCATCTATGAAAGTGGAATATAAAACTCAATACTTAACCACTCAAATTCAACGAAAATCTTTTTTCAACTTCAACTATAATTTATAAACAATAATTTTAAAATAATAAGTGTAGAAGAATACCACCGACACATCAAAATCTTTAAAGACACATCAAAATCTCTCAGTCCATTCGCCTTTGTAGAAAAWATCTAAAAAAATCTGAATGTTCCAAATCTCTTTCTGAAATTAGAATTTGTTTTGCCATAAGCCAAGTCACTTAATCTCACACGCGGTGAATTCAATGTCTGACGAATAAATACTCATTATAAGTGACTCTCTAAGTGCACAAGCAAAGACATGTATTGGAAACTCTTGTTTAAGACACCTGTATCTTATAATCAAAGGAGAACGTCTAATTGCGAACTATAATGTGACATACCATTAACCACTAGTACCACGTCATATTCGAATGATCCAAGTTGAACGCAGCTTCAGACGAATTCTTAAGAACCCAATCACCATAATACTAGCACTTGGAGAGGAAAACTTGRGAAATATTTTGACGTTTTCAWGGATATAAATCTATCAAAGTTAATCTAAGTAATTTAAAATATCAATTCCTTCTACATGGTAAACATGAATTATTATCCATAGAATTAAGACTATTGTGAATTGTGATAAAATAATATAACTGTAATATGTAAAACAACCCGGYTATATTATTTACTTCAAGCCTTATTAACTAAAAAAAAGATCAAACGTGACGGAAATAAAATAATATGTAATCCAATGATGTCAACAGTCAATTTAAAAACTCTGTAATACATTTTCAGCTTTCTGCAAACAGCATAAATGAATATTTGACGAGCTTGAGATGACACTAAATTAGTTGAAATCAAAACCTTTGATGTTATAGTGTTGTGGTTTCGCGTAGATTTGGCCAATTTAATTTTATGATGGAAATGTACGAAAAAAGTTAAGTATCCCCTTACTTGTGGGGTGTAGCTTAATTGCTTATTAAAGAACGCCGTGTTACAATAATTGTATATTATTTAATTGCATTAAAAAACATTATTCTTAACAGATGGGTTCTGAAAAAATGGATTTAATGAATATACCATCTCTGGGACGAAATGTTTTACTATAAGTGATATATTATATTATTTAAAATTATCAAACACTTACCATTACTTAACATCTCGTCGTCGGTTAGTTGGCTGGGTTTTGTGTACAGTACGCCGAATTTGAAATTAACCGATCCTTCTTGCTCTTCCAAAAGCAACAAATCCTGCAAACATAAAATTTTTTAAAGGTCATAGRTTTTTGATCATTCTAAAAATCATTCGCTATGCTTACCTTTTGAATTTCTGGTGAAAATATTTCTTTAGGGCCTTTTTCTAATTTATCCATAGCCGGAAAATTACTGTAACCATACAAATACATAATAATTATTGATAGGTTTTATGTTTAATATATATATATTTTTTTAATTTAAATATATGCAATCTGTTTACAATAAAAAACAATAAGTAATAAGGTGTTTAATGTTTACCAACAATTTTTCATGCTTATACGCATAGTATCTATTTGTATTAAACTACGATATTTCTATAGGTTGTAGATTGGTGATTTAATAATTTCAACGTTCTTATTATAACTTAATTTTAATATTCAACACTTCATTATAAGATTTTAAAAATTATGTCGAAGTAGTTATCAATCTTATTTCTTAGTGGCGTATTAGAATTAAGAATTATCTACTGAAAAGTTTGACACATCGACAGTATCRCACCAAACATGAACTTCTTAATAACAAATAATTTTATCAAACTTAGAAAAAAATGTAGCTTTTGATAATGATTAGCAATGTGGGTGTAGAATGAACTTTTCATTTTAATCGTTTTATATTAAAATTATGATTTAAAAGTTTAAAACACATGAATATAAATTACTAATTTTTCAGTATTTTATAATTTATTCTTTACAATTATTTGAGAAAAACCAATATCTTTCATAATACCATTTTAGTGTGTGCTGAGTACTTTTGTTTTCATAATTGATAAACATATGATGAACTCGTATAAATATGACATTTATTGAACAGCAACTTGGCGTATAGTTAAGTTAAACTTTTTTTGAGTGCCAAGACGCTAAATTCATTAAAATATATGATTTGAATTACTTGAAGAATGTAGCTGATTCGCACATAGACCTACCGGTGGTAATTAATAATAGTCATGACATCGTAGATTAGGGGAGTTATATGCTAAAAATACCTTTCACAATTTTAACCTAATGGATTTAATTTTGAGGATAAAGGTTTTCAAAATATGTATGTTAAACCATGTAACCGTTACAATTTTAGTTTTGAATTGACTTCGCGAGTATTTGAATTACTTATTATATGAAATTATTTATATACCTAACATAATTGTTGAGCTTTTGGCTCGACTGTAATCTTATAACCATCATTGACTTGTAAGTCAGTTCACAACATGCATTTGCCGTGAATGCATTTAAGGTAATTTCCAGTGTGATGATACAAATATTGAAATATCTATGTACAAGTGTATTTCATAAAAGTATTATCTTGCGTTAATTAATTAAAAACATGAGATTTTTGAATTTGGGATACTCAATGCGGAATATAAGTTGATTTCTGTATTTAATTATGATAAGGTTGACATACAATCAAGGCACCAATCTTAATAGTAACGGTGGTTTGTTGGAGTATTTAAGAAACAACAACGATAAAATATATAAAATTCGATTATTTTTCAAATAAATTATTTTGAAATTTTTGTTTTCAATTATTTGTTGTCTACATCCCGTCATCGGGGTCGATAATGTATGTTTAATCCCTTCAAATCATTAAAAAAAGTTCTAAAAGTTAAAAATAAAAATTGAGCCAATCAGTGTGAAGTGTATAGGTATAATTTGAAACATATTTTCCCTTGCAATATTTCAACTTGTTAAAAAAATCAAAATTAATAAATCGCAATAAAATTCTAATCCTAAATAATAATTATCGTTGGCATGTACTTCAAACAGGGTATTTCAAATGTCGTGCCATAGAATTGACGATGATCACACCGACGATTTAATAYACCATGACGCGTATGTATAAACAATAAATTTAAAATTTAAAATATCTACAGACAGACGTCCTCGCTGGTGCATTACATTATATATATTACATGTACTTTTATGATAGCCTGAAATATCTTACAACGTACATCGCAAAACGGTCGCCACCGAAGATCACCGTGACAATAATACGTATCATCATCGTCGTAGTTTTCTTCATTCAATTACTTAACTTCAGACCGAATCCTATCCGACTTCGTGTCGCCGACCGAACAGTGTACGATAACTGACACACACACACACACACATACAAAAACTTACTGAGAGTTCGTCGTCGACAGTCGATCGATCAACACGTCGACGTCCGTTTATCGCTCACGTAATCCGTCTTTGCGTTTGCCTCACACTCGGCAGGTTTCCAGACCCGGTGGCGTGTCTTTCGGGAAATTCAACTACGACACCGTGGGCAGGGTTGAAACAATCCATTAATATAGTCCCGAAGAGTCGTAAAAAACAAAAACATTACATCCAACGTCATTTTATACGACAAGCGATGACGTGGGACGGTAGTACCTATTATTTTATCGTATATATATATATATGAATATTATCGTGCATACACAGTGTTTGTTTGCACATTATATACACGATTAAACAGCAATGATAGATATTATTATAATAGGATACATTATTATTTTTATTATTATTATAGATATTTTGTTCCCAGATTGATTTTAATTTTGGATAAGACTATTTAATTTCATCACAACGCCTCATATCGATCGAAACATATTTTCGAAATTATTTTTAGTTGATCGTTTTACTCACATCTCACATGGAATAGGAACATTTAAGATAAAACATATTTTATTCGCCGAAAGGCTCAACTCAAGTGTGTAAAATGGGCAGGTACAATATTAACAATAATATGATGATGATATCATAAATAAAAATAGAAATGCCAAATATTATTGCCTACACGATAGACGTTCTCTTTTGTATGCGGTTATTACGCTAAAAAGGGTTTCGAATCTGTTTTTCAACAGTATACAATGTACAACAGGTATCAATACCTTACGTCAACACATGGTTTTGTGTTTATGTACCGCGGTAACGTTGGCAGATTGAAATTTTTCATTCTCTTCATATTCTATTTCTGTTTCATCTCWTTCCTCTCCATCGCAATAATGTCGTATTTTAGGTTTCAACGACAACGCTTTATTCGCGAAATTTTATAATTTTGCAGTTTTGAATCGCGACGAGATTATAAAATAATAACACCATAATTGAGGACCTCACGAGTGGATATAATGACATTAGTCGGGATTTCTTTTTGTCTATTGTCTCATACGTATATACCTATATGCCTTCCTCACTGCTCCACATCATAAAAYCACATGTATTAAAATAATTTCTTTTACTAAAAACATCATTAGTCTCTCATTATCATGCTTTAAYAGTAATACAGTATACATTTTACTTAACATTCTGCWGGATTTCCGTGGTAAACGCCGTGATAATGAGGACAGAAATCACCAAGAGAGGATAAGTTTATTTTATGCTTACGTATAATTCTATAGTAACATATTCTTCTGCAGAAACGAAACAGAATTCCACGAAGACTTTTGCGTGAAACTGTCTCATACCACGTACATATTTTATCAAGTAAAATAATCATTATATTCACGTTAACTAAGAACACACTTAAAAAAACAAAAAACCAATTRATGTATTAAAATATCAGTATGTTTGCTATTACAGACTAGATTGCTTTACTGTTAAAAATGTTCCAAGAGTGTTAACTAAGTCAAAAGTATWGGTACCTGTCTTAAATAAACCAGCGAAAGTATAAGCTATACAAGTCCAAATGAAATATAATTATACATAATAATATCATAGTAAGAATATGACGTAAAGAGGTATATTGTATAGCTACTCTATGCAAACGGAAGATATGAACATGYCAGAGTGACCTCTACGATAATATAAAATTACACAATTTTTTTTTCCCAAACAGTTATTAATGTGATSTTTTATATAAATAATGTAATAAATAGCAATATTATAATATATTAATACATATTTAATAATAATATTCACGAAAATAAGTTGGTAGTGAGTACTGGATACCCATAGAGTTGCCAACCAGCYAGTATTTTACATCCATAAACTTAAAAAGCCGGTTGCAAGTATTAACCTATAAAAAGCCTGTATTTTCAATGTAATGATTGTAAAATAATAAAAAACCGGTATTCCCATATCTGATCAAGAGTTTAGATATAAATATTTTATCGTTTTTTGGGAAATTGGTTATCAGATATTATACTGTTAATAAATCTTATAATCTTAATGACTTCAGATGTCTATCGTCAACTTTGAAATTTTTATAAGTAGTATGATTAATATGCACTACCTTGTACCTATTATGTCGTTGTCGTATGTGGCACTGAAAATGATGACTTTTTGTACCCTTGGCCCGGTATTTTCAAATTCAAAGTTGACAACCCGCCCAAAATGTWGTCTGTTGCAGTTGTCTTTGTAGTACTTATTTTGTGGCTGATCGTTTATATTTTCTGCGATTTATTCTCCGAATAATAATATGTACAGTGTACAKTCATGCAAACATAATAATATTAGTAATATTACTGGCAATTTATTTTAAGTATTTTGGTCACTTTGTATCTCCCACATTTGCTTGATTCACTTGCGTCAACTAGAGATGATATGCAATTGACTGGCATGAAGTGGCGGCCAAGTTTCCGACTGTATACTCCGTTTCATATTATATATAGTATGGTTGATCTCCAAAACATATTTCGACACTTTTTCCTTGGCTTGTTGGATTTCTCAATAATGTTTACATGGTTTTTAAAAATAAGAACATGTCATCATTGAATTATATGATTTGTATATCCGAATACGTAAAACTTATTGTTATATACATTATTGTTCGTCATACAAAATGTGGGCGACATATTGTATAGAGTGATTGTCAATATATTTTGAGTGTCGCTAATGATAATTAATGTACATACTATTTTGCTTGGTACACTAGTATTAAAAAAAACTTCGGTATTTTTCTTTATATTGATAAAATATGATGTTTGAAGTCCATAACTATTAATTATCATCCTTCTTTTTCTCTTATTCATTATATGTACCTACAATACTTYCTGGTATTTTAATTTAATTAATTTCCCAACAACGCATATTATATTATATATTATACATTATATATACGCACGTATATTGTTTATTATTTATATAATTGTAAGTAAAAAAGTCTAAACATACATTTTACGAACATTATTTCATTGAAGAAAATATTATTT